TCGTAATTCGAACAGAGTGCGAACGTCAAGTTCAAATTAGCAAAATCGGCCTCAGAGGAGCTACCGGCCTTGCAGCGAGTTTATGGGGATAATGCACTACAGAGAAGCGGAGTTTACGCCTGGTTTAAGGAAGGGCAGGAGACGTTAGAGGACGACAAGCGCAGCGGGAGACCGTCGACATCCCGAAACGAGGAAATGACTGCAAAGGTGGAGCAACTGATTCGAGATGATCGAAGCACGACAATTGCAGAGTTGGAGCAAGAAGCTGGCATCTCACGTGGTTCAATTCACGCTCATTTTACACGACGATTTGAAAATGAGACGAGGCAGTGCGATGTTTGCACCCAAGCAGCTGAGCACAGATCAAATGAACACTCTCGTGGCAATCGCTGGCGAGTTGTTCGAGACAAGTGCAAAGGACTGAGCGTTTCTTCAGCAGATCTGGTGATGAGACTTGGGTGTTTGCTTACGATTCGAAGATGAACTCCAATCATTGGAGTGACACACACTAACGTCTCCAAGACCAAAAAAATCACGCCTCGTCAGATCCAAAATCAAAGTGATGCGAATTGCGTTCTTTGACATTGGTTATGTGCACCATGAGTATGTACCGCCTGGACTGGTTGTTACTGGCCATTTCTAAGCGCAAGTTGTGCAGAGGTTGCGCGATGCGGTTCGAAGGAAGCGACAGGATAAGTGGTGAGGTCAGTGGGGTCTGCATCACGATAACGCACCAAGCCACACATCGCTTGTTGTGGAGGCATTTTTCGCCTAGAAGAACATTCCTGTAGTCCCTCAACCACCGTACTCTCCAGATCTCGCCCCCAGTGACTTTTGGCTGATCCCTACTCTGAAAATGGCCGTCAAAGGGAGACGTTTTTAAACCGTGGAGGACATCAAATCGAATGTGACGGCTCGTCTTCAACACATTCCAAAAGAAGATTTCTACCGCTGCTTCTAACTGGCAGGATCGATAAACCATTGTGTGTGCACGCAAGGGTCCTTCTTTGAATATGATTAGGTAAGCATTGCTATAGACCATAACATTATCTTGCTGAACCATCATTACGGGAACTTTCTGAACGCCCTTCGTGTATATATATATATATATATATATATATATATATATATATATATATAATGTATACACACATATCAGTTTCCGTCTGGCTTAGTGTAAATTATTTCCTTCTATATGACTATTATCTATACTACTGCTACTGTATGTTACAATATGTGCATTCTTGGTTATTATTTACAATGTATGCTGTTGGATGTTATTTATAATACACAAATCTTTTCGAATGGCTCTTCCAATCAGAATTTGGTTTTAGTGGCATGTATCCGGCATTGATCCTCTTGAATATTTTCATATACTTTTTCACCTCACTATCACGTAGGATTCCACTAACTTCTTGCTTTCACTTCACTGACACTGGAGGCACACACTTTCTAGGCAGGGTCTCCAGCGTCCTTTAAGCTATCCGAGTACAAAGCTTATACAGAAAAATTGATGATATTTTTGAGCTTCAAAAATCAAAATTTTCATTTGAAACTCCCAAGTTCGTTCAGATCTGTCGGGGAATATCAATTTTTGGGAAATCGACCGAAACGTTTCGACGCTAGCGTGGCCGACAGACGGACAGGCGAATGGAGGGACGGACAGACGGATATTTTTTCGGGAAATCGATTTTTCAGTATTAAAGACTCACATAACATGGATTCTAGCTACACTGCGTGTTAGAGGAAGTAATTTACAATATAAAGGAACAGGCTTTATCCATGTTTTTATAGAAGGAATGAGCAACAAGGGTTTTTTCTGACAAAATTTCGCCGTTTTCCGGCGCGCGATTACAATACTTTCTCTTCTCACGAAGTATGTGCGTGAAAGTAATAAGTGAATAGCAAATATTTAATGTCGGATTATCTTTTCCTAGATTTCGCATGAAGTAAAAGTTGTGAGAATAAAAATTCAATTGGAAACTCCAGTACGAGAATTGGCGAAAAAAACTACACAATATTAGCATTTTTAGTTAAACTCTAGACTATTTAATTTTTTTTATATTTCCCAGTTCATGGGCATCTAACGAATACATAAACACTTCTCATATGGTCAGAGGGTTCAGATCTTTTCATTTCTGTGCGTCTTGAAAATTAGCAAATATATGTAGTTCTTAAAATCAGCATTTTGTAGTTTTAGGCTGTGATGATAATTACTGGAATGGGAAATGTCGTTCTTATCCTGAATACAATAGCTATTGTGTCATACACGTTTTTGCATCAACTTTCATGCCATATCTTGTAATGTCATCCTTCCTTACATCGAGTTCTATTCCCACAGGATTTTTCTCTTTTCATAAGAGTTTGTTGCGATATGTTTTACCCCAAGTCTTTTCATTGGTGCATAATCACCACGTGTGTATCAGAGAGGAAAAATACTAAAATGTTAAAAATCCTTTCAATATTGTAAGAAAATCGTTATGTTGAGTTTTCTGATTAACTCTTAACTACTGGCGTGAGATCTGTAACACACTAGCATCAGGTCACATGGACGCCACCATTCTGATTCAAGAAAATAATGTCATTTAAATGGTTTTGGGAGTTTTATGACGTTTAATATTATATGTAATGATTAAAGGTAACAAAAAATCGTTCGGTTTACATAATGAAAGATCACAATTAATCAATATCTTGTTCTTCTTCCTAAACTCTAATTACTAGTAGCTTCTGGAGAGAGGCTTTGTTTCTCCACTCTTTTTAGCGTTGTGAATACCATAAATAAATACAGCTAATAACATGGCTAGTACATAAAGTCATTGTCGCCTCCTTTGTAGGTCGTGCAGACTTGAGTTTATCTCTCTTTGTTCTTGAAAAGAATTCCAGAAGAGTATCCGGTTTTCTCTAGCGTAATGTTCGAAAAATGGCCAATTGTGCTTTGACCCAACCAAAAGTCGTATACCGAACTAACCTAAAATGAGTTGCGAAAACGGAGTTATCGCCAAGCCGCCACGCTTGCGTAACAACCGTATGGAAATGCACAGAACGCTAACGCTGGCGTGGGGTCAGGAAAGGCAATTCAGAGAAACAGGTATGTCGATGGCATTTTCCATTGCATGCTCTGAAAAGGGACGTTATCAGAAGAGATTACATGGAACCATCGGCAAATTGACGGGTTCCAGTCAAATTGACTCGACGCTGAAAATTAAGGGTTAAATTATTCATGCGAAGAATTTAAACCAGCAGAAAGATACCACCTTTAGGTTTTATGAACAGCGGGATGTATACAATTTTCTAATATAATTTCACGTTCTTTCTTCCTCATATCTTGTAACATATACACATCAACATCTACACCTGCATCTCTGTTCATGACCAGGACACCCTTCAACATACATTACGTATTTCCGACGCTATCTGAATATCTACATCTTTCTGCCACTATCTCTCATCAGCTTTTAGGATTTGCTGGCAACGATACTCTAGTTATTCTGACGCCTACACTTCAAGAAATGTTTTATCTCTAGGCTCCTTTATTTCCCTAATTGGGATCATTATATTAATTTTAATTATATGAGAAAGCGTAATCGCTTACCAAAAACTATTATTTTCAACAAATCTCAATAGATCCCTAGAATAACTCCAAAACCTCCCTCCCGCATAACAATCGTATTCAGAAGTACACATTTTGTCTAAGTATAAATATGGTAGAAACATGCGCAGATATAAAACGAAAAAAAGTATCGCAGATTATGATACAGGGAAAAAAGCTGGCGCAAATGCAACCCTCAACATGATACACTGCAATACACGATCAACATCATCTAAACTAAGCAAACAATGCACCTTAGGCCGTTAAAACGTGGATTTCTTGACTCTTGGATGGACATAATTTGCTTCACAATACCGTAGTTGTACAGAGTGAGACATTTTTTGACTTTTCAACTGTACATTTTTCGAGAATGTGCTACTCATTTGTTAGGAACTTTCAATGTCGGGTTTCAGAACGAAGCCATTTTCACATTAAAAAAATTGATTTACTACGTACAGAATGCTCAAACCGGTCCAACAAGCAATAGGTACTTTTTATGATCTCAATTTCGTTAATTTCTTCTTAACATAAAGTGTATAAGCTACCAGTTAACTCATCTAGAAACTCACATATAATAGTTTTAACTGTGCATGTTTATGTCCGTATCAAGACATTTTAGTCACCTAACGGCAGACGTCTCTGGAGCTTGGCTGAAATACATCTGCATCACAATCGCCCCGACCGTTTGTATCTTGCGCACACGAGTGCATTAGGTAGATGAGAAATCAAGTCTCCACATCACAATTTCTCCGCAAAGACGGCAAAATGTAGTAAGTCACTTTTTAAAAATTGCTCATGACAGCACTTAAAAGCATTAAAATTTTATGAAAAATTACTCTGCAGCTTCTGTCTTACAGCAATTTGCCACCATTGTTTTTTCATGAACTACATGAGAAATGGCCCATTTACCTACTTTTAAATATTAACAATTCAGAGTGATTTATGTCATTATGCGTCTCGTTTCAAGCGACTTATATAATTTTGCCATCTTAGCCCAGAATTATCAGATGTTTTTGCCACATATTTTTCTCACTTACCCTAACCATCTTTGAACCTACACATCAAAAATAATTTGTCTTTTGACCTAACCCGTCCTATTTTTTTATATTAAACCCTAAACGCCACATTCGCTTTTTTATTTATTGCATAGACACTAATAAATTAACAAAGTGAGTTTTCAGATGAAACGACTAGGAAATTTTTTTTGCTGACATTCGGATATCTGTGTCGTCAACGATTTATGTTCCAATAAAATTATTGTACCACATATGTAAATATTAATATATTTGCAGAGCTACTTGTATTAGTCATATTTTAGAGTTTTGTAATATAATCATGCGTAATGTTCGTCCTTGACCATCTTGTTCAATGAATGCAAAGAAGCAGCACTGACCAAAAATTTCGATTGCAGGCATTATCATTAGGATGGCTGAACGGATACAGCTTACGTTGCCAACCTGTGGATTATAGCACATCCGAACTGGCAATGGAGGTAAGTCTTACAAATCTATCAGTGACTGTTTCGACAACATGCATTGTGGAGTTTATATGGATATTATATGTAGAAAAAATACGAGTATGACAAACGAAAACAAACGTTTTGTAAAGGACAAAATTAAAGGTACCATCTGTATGACAAACTACTTTTCGAGGTACGTAATTAGTGACAGTATTGTTAATACATCACTGCTATTGGCTTGCAACATGTACCAAATATATATATCTTTTAACTTGGCAACTTGAAATGACTAAAAAAATACGCGATGTATTGAGCCGAGACCAAATCTTAACAGTTTTGAAGGGGAAATCATTCAATGCTAAAATCAGCATTTCTCTTTCCCCCAGCTGGTGGGGCGGTGGGCAACATTGAAATCTTAAATAGGAAATCCTATTTTTTTATTTCAGATTCGACTTCTACGGACAACAGTACGTAAGTTTTGTCTCAATATTTTTTTTCTGATTTGGGATAGTTGGAGCTGTAATCGCAAAACATTGGTTTCCGAAAATTTCCGACTGTAATTTGAGTGGTTTTGAGCGTGGTGTATTATTTCTGAGTGGTTAGTAAAAATCAGTATTTTCTACGGAAGTCAATAAACTACATTTAGCGTAATCCAGGAACAACGACGTGGACGTAGTAGTTTTCTGTTCCCGCCGGGGAGCTTGTTTTCAGAGAGTCCCCTTGCGTCTCACTATTGGAGTGCTGATTTTAGATGATTCTGCAAATAGCTCAGAATTTATTTAAAGTAAGTGCTCAAAATGATGGCCCTGAACCTCAATGCATTTATTGATTCATC